CCCCAAAACCCCAAAACCCCAAAACCCCAAAACCCCAAATGAGCCATATAAGATTGAAGCATTATAGTTTGATATAATTAATAAATTTGCCTAAAAAATGGACAACCTGTAAGGATTCAAACCTTTATGAGGAAAAGGGTTAAAAAGGAGGAAATGGAATTTTAGAGAATATGATGGCTGAGGAGTAAAGAGAGTCTTAGCGGTATAGGATGAAACTAGTCTAGGGAATAAAAAGGATTTAGTTTAAATAACGACCTCATTCTTTATCTCCTTTTTAATTGATAATACTAAATCCCTAAATTTAATTTTCACAGAAATCTCTTTCCTCTGATAAACCTCACATTAAACATCAAGCCCATTTTAAATTCCAAAAAATGGCTAATTCCTCCAACCCCAGTCCCAAAGATACCTAACCACATCAACCTCACCTATAGAGAACGGATTCCTTTCATTTCACTGAACCAAACTAAAGAGACTCTCAAGTTCCCCAAGAAAAAGAAAATAAAGCTCAGAAAAGAACAGAGTTCCTTTAATTCTATCGTAAGTCCAATTCCGCATACTTTCAGCCAAAATCTTCCTCTAAATTAGCTTTTACAGTTAGATTTCGGTCTTTAATCTTATGCATGAGCATTCATATAGGATATGGAGACTCGCAAGAAGTTCTTAATTAAATATGCTAATCAAAATCAAACCTTTACATGAGTAAAGAACCCTTCAATGAACGGCAGGAGACACTTAAAGCAGGACGATAAGTTCCTTACCACTCAAACGACGGCCAAGTACCCTCAGGTTCGTCAAATGGATTGTTAACTCGTTGCTTTTTCAAGCCTATTTCACTTTCAAAATGGTGATTTTTCGCCTAAAAAAGGCTTGCTTTTTAGTGAAAATATTGACTTTCAGTTCGAAAATAATTTTACGGTAAATGAGGCTTCCAGATATTTTTTTAGCTTAATAAAGACATAAAGACTCATGCACATAAGTTGAGGTGTTAACACTTATCACAAGCAGTGTGGATTCTTCAATTTTTTTCTTAAATAACTTAGAAGGTTTAAGAGTAAGGACAAATTGTCCTGAAACCCCGAATCACCGGCTATTCCCTGTCTTTATAATTTCTGGTTTTGAATTTCTGAAATATGCTGACCAAATAGGTTTAAAATGGTCACATCTAAGGAGCTAAAATATTTAAACCTCATTTCAAACAACTTGGTTAGACTATTTGAAGTAAATAAACCATTGGGTGGTTATTACGACCATATCTTCGCTAAATAATTTAGGATGCCTATCTAAATAGGTTGAATGAAACCTTCATAACTCTAAACCCAAGACTAGTTACAGTCAAGTATTATAAATTTTAAATAATGAAATTGTTCGCCCTCACCAATTCGTGAATATTCTATTCGTCTAGTTTATGGCTCATTTTCAGTCGCTGAAAGTTGGATAATTTATATCACCCTGATAGTCAGCTTTTTGATGCAAATATGAGTTCACCTTGATTAGTAATGATATCAATGAGAAATCTCCACCAAGAAGTACTTCTAAAGAGTTAATTTCTATAGAATATTTAAGCTCGATCGATTTTCCAATTCATGGAGTGTAAAATAATGTAATTCCTACGAAATTTTGGAAACTTTCTCTTCAAGAGATTTTATTTACTCGAAAGGTTCAAAGTTTTAGGATATCTTTTGAAGAAATTTCATAAAATTTTTTGTGGAGGGTGGTATTTTTATACATTTTTCATAATTGGTTCCAATAATGCACTTATAATAGTGAATTACTAAGGAGGTCACCAAAAATTGAGTAAATGGGTCGTCTTCGATGGTTTACCCTGAGTAAACGAGATAGAGGCAGATTAGAGACCTCTAATTTATCTATTTCTTCTAAATCAACTCATATTTTTATAGAACAAAAGGATTTTCCGTAGCCCAGGAGCTACTGCGAAGAACTATTTCTTTCCAAATACACTAATTAAGGAAGAAAAATCTGACCAGAAGTAAGTATAAATTAGTGACAGCGTGTTCTGAGCTGAACTAGATGCTATCTAAATATCATCAATCTTCTTTATAACCTGCTTTAAAGTTTTGCCATATACTTTGACATTTTTTGACAATAAAATAAACCTTCATCCAGAAGAGTCAGACAACATATGAATGGATTCTTTAGTTCGAAGGTAAGATATCGAAAGTATTTGAGACAAATTGAGGCTAGCAGAGTTCTAGCAAAGTTTTTAAAAATTAGTTAGCTTTATTAAAATTTTTCTAAACTTTGATAGACATCTTAAATTTCTACTAATCTACAACCTCATCTAGATTTAGAAAAGAATGTTTTAGAAATTTCTTTGAAATTACACCATGTAAACCTTCATTTAGCAGAAGAATCAACGTATTTTTTCAGTGGAACTTGAGAAGAAGTCTCCAGAGAAGGTAAGCTACTCATTTGCCAAAAGTCCTAAACTTTAATTTAGAGAAGGAGAAAGTTTAAATTGAGGAAGAAAGACTCTTTTTGCTTTCTGACAAAGTCACATCAAAATGACTCTAATGATAGCATGGCTATGAAGAAAAGAGAGAAGAAATCAATATTCAGCAAGTTCATCAACTGACCTCGACTGAATGCTCAAAGGATAAGGTAAAGACTGGTCATGACTCCTTAGTAAAATCGTTAAGAATCAGCACAACTCAAGAAACAAAAAGTAAGCGGTGGGCATTAACTCTCTAGTATCTCCATGAGCTCGTATAATCACATTGAAGCAGATAGAATGCTATCTCCAATCATGCAGAAGGAAGACCATTTTTCACTTTCAAGGAACATAATTCCTCTGAATATTTCAGATCATATGACAGTAACTGATAAGGTTTGTGGCTTCCCTGATGATGTAGATCCGCCAGCTCAACATGAGGAAGAAGATCAAGCACCCAGAAGGAGACACTAAGGTAGACAAACTTCTGAGAACAATGGTCCAAGAGAATGAACACAAGGAAGAAATCGGTAATTTGTGGGTGAAGATTTATAGAATCGAAAAAGAGACTCAGTAAGATACAGCTCATTGAGCTTATCAAGAAACGCAAGAGCTCTATTGTCAAGAAGTACCTCGGCATTGACTAGATTACACATTAAAATGAAAGAACTCTATAAGCTTTAGAATGAAACATGAGGTGATTTTTGGAAATTTAAAGCAAACAGATACAAAAGTAAATGGGTTTATGACATCAGAGTTCTATGCTGCATCTTTGGGTTTTGATACAAGAAGCTCTAATTAAGGGTTTTAAATTGTGATGCAATGATGTCTACATCTTGGACATACCCATAAGCTAGCAGAGCTTGCATTTATATCATAAAGACACCAATAATTTCCTTCTGGAGCTATTAAAAGAGTTGATGTTTGGTTCTAAAGGTGACTGAAAGCTTACCTTTTGTTTAGACATTTTTATGACACTTATTATTTTTGTCCTCAATTGTTTCAAAATTATGGGGTTTTGGGGTTTTGGGGTTTTGGGG